TATATATCCCGGACTTATATATATATATATATATATATATATATATATATATATATATATATATATATATATATATATGCATATATATATACTCCATATACACTTGTAAGTTTGTGTATACTCATGTGTATATGTATTCAATTATTTTTTCTGGATGTATTTCAATTTTTTACACCCCCCCCCCCCCCACCCCACGCACTGGGTGTCACACGGTGCGGTTCGCAACCTCCCTACCCCTCCCCCCCTACCCCTCGCTACGCTAATTAGGAATATAAAAGATTTTCAGACACGAAAAAAAATTCAACCAATGGCAGCCGATGTTTGTCTTTCCGTGCTTTATTTTTAATCCTTCACCTGTTTGTACAAGATCCAAAGCACATAGAAAGTAAGTTTTGTTTGAGTTTGTAGATCAATCGGGGGCCCAAGGACATAAAAAGATACAGTTATTGGGGGTAGCGTGGGCCGCAAGTCCAGATATTGTGCATGTTTTGTTTATATATATATATATATATATATATATATATATATATATATATATATATATATAGGCTATATATACACTTGCTGCATAGTCGTGCTTTAATACGATGTAAAAAATGTAAAAGTACTTTCTGAAGGACAGAACAGAATAGAAAACAAAGCATATAATTGCGAATCGCACGGAACACAACAATACTCAACACAAAAACCAACAAAATCGATTTTCTAATCCCTGTAAAACCAGTGTTTCTTCCAGACTTTTTTCTTCGGGGGGGGGGGGGGCACTTAAATATTTGGGGGGGGGCGGTAGACTTTCTTCGGGGGGGGCGGACACTGTTAAAAGTATATATTTTCTATATAAATTATATAAATTTCATTTCGTTCGGGGGGGGGGGGGGGGTGACGGTAAAAAAAATTCGGCCCCCCCCCCCCCCTACCCCCGAAGAGATGCCTGGAAGAAACTCTGTGTAAAACAGTTTTTAATTTTCCATAGATCTAGAATCTAAGTACTATTAAAAAGATTCAAAGGCAGCGATAATAAGTAGGGGAAATAATATCACTCTTTATACAGTTCGGTACTCATATTTAATTGCATCTTTCAAATCATTTTAAAAATAAAAACCCATTAAAAAAATAATTTACTGTTTGCAATAGTTGTAACTTTAAAATTAATTTACAGATAGCGTCAACTGTTCTTATTGCAAAGAAAGTAATTTATTTGCAGAATAACGATTCACATTTCGAAAACTGTTTTACGTTCCTCACGTAGTGATGCGAAAGACTTGTTAAAATATATGCAAGTCCGGACCATCAAGAATTAAAGCTCTTAAGTTGTGTAAGTAAAGTAATGTAAAGTTTCCCTTTCAAACCTGGCGGTCTATGGGGCAAGTGAAGTAGAGTTCACTTGTTTCTGTGACCTTGGCATATGAAGAGATAGTGTGGTCAGCACTATGCCCAGCCGCCTTTACTTCCCTAATGTGAGTTAGGGTGGACTCAGGGACGGTCTACTGACTAGAAACCGGATTCGAACTCGAGACTTACGGGTTAGCAGTCCAGCTCTCTAAAACTAGACCACTCTTTCCCCTCTTAAGTTGTGTTAGAGTATTATTTTTCTTTACGTTTATTCTGATCTCTCTCTCTTTCTCTCTCTCTCTCTCTCTCTCCATCCATCCATTCATCCATCCATCCATCCATCCATCCATCCATCCGTCCATCCGTCCATCCGTCCATCCGTCCGTCCGTCCGTCCGTCCATCCGTCCGTCCGTCCGTCAGTCCGTCCGTCCGTCCGTGCGTCCACCCACCCACCCACCCACCCACCCACCCACCCACCCACCCACCCACCCACCCATCCATCCATCCATCCATCCATCCATCCATCCATCCATCCATCCATCCATCCATCCATCCATCCATCCATCCATCCATCCATCCATCCATCCATCCATCCATCCATCCATCCATAAAAAGTTTTTACTTAAATATTTAGACACAACATGTTTATTAAACAACTGGTATGCAACTTCAGACCATTGGTTCAAGAAAAAAAAATGTATGTTGGGGTTTTCTTTCTTAAGGAACTTCAATGAAGTGTGAAAACTCCTGAAGAGAAATTGTTATGGGCTTACAAGGTAATGAAATAATTTCTTAATGTTCTTCGTGTAAAGCGGGGTGGGGGCTAATAAGTAAACTTACCTTGCCTCTTGTACTCATTGTTTTTCGTTTTATAAACAAACCTGATGTCTACTGTAATTTATTACCACCTTTGTGGGTCTGGTCAAGGGACATCTCTGTGTTTAAGCATGTCCGGTGTTAGTTTAGCTGAACATGATTTTAGTGTATATACCATTACTTTAATTCTTTTGTTAAAATAATAACCATCAAAAAGTTGATCCGCAAATAAAGACTATATCAAACCTGTTTTTTTTTTAAATTGTAGGCCATATACAACCTGTTGTGAACAACAGTGCTATTGGTCTTTATGTCGCTAATGCAATTTTAAAATGTAGGCCCATAACATTACCACTTAGAAATGGTAAAATATTACTAATCAGGTGTAATGTGCTTTAAGGTTTAGATCTATACTAAAACAACTCGTCTAAGTTTACATGGTCGAGCATTGTAAAATAACAAACTACACCCAATTACTTGTATATCCACAGGCCATGATCAGAGTTTCTTCCAGGCACCTCTTCGGAACGAAATGAAATGTATAAAATTTTTATAGAAAATATATACTTTTAACAGTGTCCGCCCCCCCCCCCCGAAACGTCTACCCCCCCCCCCCCCGAAAATTTCACCCCCGGAGAAAAAAGTTAGGAAGAAACACTGGCCATGATATTGCATACATGTTTATGGTAACCTCTGAAACAGTGCGTGATGCCAGTTGTCTTTATAAACGTTTTAACCACCTCAAAAAAAGGTCACATTCATTCATTCAGATCAGAGTTTCTTCCAGGCATCTCTTCGGGGGGGGGGGGACTTTGCCCCCCCCCCCCCCCGAATTTTTTTTACCGCCCCCCCCCCCCCGAACGAAATGAAATTTATATAATTTATTTAGAAAATATATACTTATAACAGTGTCCGCCCCCCCCCCCCCGAAGAAAGTCTACCGCCCCCCCCCCCCCGATAATTTCAAGTGCCCCCCCCCCCCCCCCAGAGAAAAAAGTCTGGAAGAAACACTGATTCAGATGTAGGGGAAAATAGATCAATTTTGATTACAATTAGATTATTTAAAAAAAAAAGAGCCATTAAAAAATCTGCCGCACTGTAATTTCGCCAAAATATTGAGTTTTAGTCACGGCTTATTTATTAGGATGTAGGAGCGTACGACTGCTAACCCGAAAGTCTCAAGTTTGGATCCAGGGCTCGAGTTTGCAGGATATCTTAAATCTACCCCGCTATGATGATGCTCTGACTCAAGGCCGAGAAAGTAAAGGCGGCCTGGCATAGTGCTGACCACACAATCCTTTTAAATGCCGAGGTCACTGAAACCGGTCTTGGTGCACGGTTTGGCGATACGGTAGGCTGCTTGGTCTAATCTGGATGAGCTTGCCAAGTAAAAAATTATTACTAGATGGCTTCCCTTACTTCAAGGAAGTGACGTTAATTTGACCTACTTAGCAAATATCAACATGGCCTTATCGAGGGTGACTGTGCGAGTGCGGTACAAGCCAGTGTTGTAGCTTTACTACGACTTGGTAATTATTGTTTGCTGGCTTGTATTCAAATACATTCTCAATGTTGATTGCATTGTGGTGGATGTGTAAAACACTTCTAGAGGAAGTAAGTTAACATGTATTTGTTTATGTCTAAATTGGATCATACATGGCGGAAGGAGGGATAACACAAGAACAAGGCCTACGTGACGAGGTGAATGTATGCCAGTTGTGTGGGGCACTTGAAAATCTTTCGCTGTGTGGGGGTTGCAGGGGTACTTGGTACTGTTGTAAAGATCACCAAAGACAGGACTGGAAAGTTCATAAACAGTCATGCGCAAAAAATAAATCTGGAATTATATCAAAATCGCAGCATCAAAATGCTGTAACTTTATCTGCAAAACAAGGTATGCTAAACTACAGTTCAAACGAGGTCAACTCTTTCAGTGATAACGTTAACAATAGTTCAGAACCTGTCTCCCCTTCGAAGGTGAACTTGGACGATTCCAGCACTCTATCAACCCTTACTTCATTCGAAAACACAGCGGCAGGTGAGGGAATAGTAGTGTCTGTCAACACAACCCAGCCCACCAACTCGACCACTGGACCTGAAGAAGGAAACAATGTTGATGATAGGCTTAACTGTGGACGTGATCCCAGCCAGGTCGAAAAATCAAACAGTCCACTAGGGAAACACAGCCGTGCTAAAAGTTCAAAACACAAATATAAATATGAGCAGCAAGGGAATTTGCCTACAATATCTGAAGATGGTCCTCCACCAGAGAGATACTATCTAGACTACACCACTCACAGAATTAATCTTCCACCTTCAGCAAAGGCTGCTTCTCCTAGTCACACGCAGGCCTCAGCCATGGGTCAGGGAGACAGAAGCCTTTCAGCTTTGCAAAGCAAGGAGCAGTATCTTTCCATTTTGAGGTCTCGGTTTAAAGTGTTAGCCAAATATGTTGTGGATTGCTTAACAAAGTATGGCATATGTGTGATTGACAAATTTCTTGGTGAAGTAACAGGACATGAAATATTGAAAGAAGTTTTGCAACTAAGTTCAGCTGGAGTTCTGAAGCAAGGGCAATTAGTCCATGGCCCTACATCTTCTTCTAGCAACAAGTACATTCGGGGTGATATGATTACATGGGTGGATGGCACAGAGCCTCGCTCAGAAAATATCCATTTCCTTATTTCTTGCATGGATGCTGTTATGCTTCAGTGTGCTAGCAAATTAGAAAATTATACCATCAATGAAAGGACTAAGGTATGTGTGACTTTTATTATTATTATTAATACATAATCACATTAGAATCATAAAATTAAGACAGGTATTACTAAAGTTAGGCTATAATTTGTCATTATAAACCTTCTTAAAACTTTAGATAGCTACATTATTATATTTTAACCATTTCATTTTCACACTAATGCTATTGTTCTATAAAATTTACTACTTATATTTGCTAAGAAAGCTAGCTCTTTTTTAACAACTTTTTTTAACTTACATCATTCAATCATTGCCTTTTGCACTTTTTAAAGATTTGTTAAATTTTTTTAACATTAACCTTAAAGACCTACTTAGTTTAACTAATCATTCTTCAATTCTACATTGTCAAAACTATTAAGTGTATTGATCATTAGCCTAATAGTATTTGAAACAAATGAATTAAAATGAACTTTTTTTTCAGGCAATGGTTGCATGTTACCCAGGGAGAAAGACAAGATATGTCAGACATGTTGACAATCCAAATGGTGATGGTCGTTGTATCACCTGCATTTACTACCTCAATGAAAACTGGGATGTTAGGGTAAGCTTTACATTTTTAAACTGGGATGTTAGTGTAGGCTTTACATTTTTTTAAAATGGAATATTAACATACACTTTACTTTACATTTTATCTATTAATACTTAAGTTTTTTGCCATGGTACAAATATATTCTGTAAAAAAAAATTCTTGGGTTTTAGTTCATTCAAAGTTAAAGTCTAAAACTTAGGCCTAAATATATTTTTGAATTTTTTTTTTTAAATGTTACATTAGTTATTCAAGTAAAACTTGAATTTAATTTTCAGCAAATATTAATTTTAAAGTTCAAAACTTTGAAACTTTAAAATTTTGGAGCTAAAAATAATTTTATCTGCAAGTTTACTGCATCTCTGGTTTACCAGATCTTGTTTGTTAGCTGATAAGACCAGCAGAGTTAGGCTCTCGTTTAGGCTAGCACTTAATTATCTATACCAAGTGCACTCAAGATATTTCTAAAGCTGGTACTTAACAAACAACAGCCAACACATTATACCAATGTTTGTGGCTTTGTCCATTTTATATTTAACACTGTGAGTGTGAAGTAAACATTTTAAGGTTCAGGTGAAAAATGTTTTATGAATCTTAAATCTGTTTTAATTAAAGGGCCCCACATGAGGATATTAACCTTAAGAATGTCAACCTCAAATTTATAAATAAAACCTCTATCCTGTTTTTTTTTCCACTTTTCAGCAACATGGAGGATTACTTAGGATTTATCCTGAAGGCACAGACAGGGTTGCCAATATAGAACCCAAGTTTGACAGACTTTTATTTTTCTGGTCTGACAGAAGGAATCCTCATGAGGTTGAACAAGCTTTTAGAGAAAGGTAACAAAAAACTTTGTTTTTTAATCAAGATTTAATTGCGTGTACATGATCTTAACAAAGTAAGCGTTATTCTACTATTAGCTTTATTAGGACATAAGATTTTTTATTCAACAGCTTAATAAATACATTTAAAAAATTTCATTCATTCAGTGAAAGTTGTTTTAAACTATTTTTCCACAAGTGCTATCTTGTAAATAAAAACTTTCCCTTTTCAAACCCGATGGTCCATGGGGCAAGTCAGCAAGTGAAATATAGCTCACCTGTTTCTGTGACTTCTGAATATAAAGGAATAGTGTGGTCAGTACCTAGTTGCCTTTACTTTCCCTAACGTGAGTCAGGTACCCATCTGAGCTTGGTTCACTTGTAGACATTCTATGGACCTGAACTTGGATTTGAACTTGAGACTTTCGAGTTAGCAGTTGTATGCTCTACCATTTAACCACACAGTACTACTAATAAGTAGTTTAAACTCATAAACTTAATCTTTTGTCATTTGCTCATAGATATGCAATAACAGTTTGGTATTATGATGCTGAGGAAAGAGCTCAAGCCTTAAAGAAATTTAAAGGTAATTTGAAATTACTTGTTACATTATCCATAAGGAGTTTTCTTATCTTGTAATTGTAGATTTATTTACTTCTACTTCTTCATTAATCAGTGTTAAAGAATTAAATAAAATTTTCTCTCTTCAGGCGTGTCAGATTCAACAAATATCAAACCCCAGGCTGTTCCTCTAATCAATGGAGAAAATCAAGGATTACAGTGATATAAAATGTCTTTCATTTATGAGTTGGACATGGTGCGGATGACTGTTTAACGTGATTAAACCAGTGACTTACAAACATTTGACCAAAGACTACCTTCATACTTTCAAACATTGCGATGGAAAAAATCTGATTAATTCTCAAGTCATATAATTGTCTCATAAAAATCAAAGCTAGAAATTTTTTTTGGATTGTGAAGACACCACTCCTTTAGGAAATAAAATATTCCTTCAAATAAAATATTGTGGAACATTTATGTGACAAATGGTTTTCTTATAGCAGGCATTATTATCTGTATTTTGAATTGGAAGCATTAACTGGCTTATGCAAATAAAGGATTTTCATCATTGTGTTGGTGTGGTAGATCAGGTAAGATGAACTGATGCATGAACTAGAATTCTATTCCTGGTGTGGTTGTGAATCAGAGCTGGTTCAATGCTAAGATTAAGTAATTTATTTTTTTTTGTTTTCTAATTATATTTCAATTTTGTGGTGGACATTTCAAAGTGGCTTGATGTACATAAATATCCGTTAAAGCTTTTAGTTTCATGAAAAAGAAAATTAACAAACTATTTTGAAAATGCATATCTGTTAATTTTATTCTGTTTACATGTTCTGCTTTTTAAAGTGATAAAATAAGATTAAATGAAAAAAAAATGTCTGTGATTGCAAGGGGTGCTGTGTTTTGTGATTGAGTAATTGAGCTATTACTAAGACAGTTAATTTTACATAAAGTCCAAAAGTAATGCAGGTGCAAGTGATATATCATATCTCAAGTGACTAGAAAACTAGTTGCATTCAGTGCCAAATGTTATATGATTGTCTGCTTGAGTAGCCACAAGAAAGTAGTTGAGCAGTTTTCTAACTTAGTCATCTATCAATGACATTTAAGTTTTGTATAGCTTTTATACTGTACAAAATACTTCTTTGTTTCATAAATTAATAATGGTTTCTTTAAGATCTTTGAGTTATAAATTTCTGAACAGCTTTAATTCCATACTGGTGTATATTTTTGGTAACTTAAAGTTTCTTCTCTATGGTGCCATAACTATTTTTTTTGTAAAACTAATTTTTTTTTTTTAAAAGGTTTCAGCAAATCAATTAGCTCTATAGTCCAATCAACAGATTTAATGTCAAGTTACAAATCATGAGCTCAAAATAGACATAATTTTGTTGTCATCATTATAAAAAAATCTCTAGTCTTTTTCATTGTAATTTAATGTAAATATTTAATTGTTAATTACTTTTTATAAAAACTTCATGCTGTATTTTGTATTTTTCCCTTTTTGTATCAATCAGATTAAATGTAGATCTCTATCTGAACAGTATCTACTGATACAATTTTTATACTAATTAACAAAAATTGTATGAGAATACTAAAATAGCTATACAACTTCTTGAAACGTTTTAAATAAAAAAATTCATTGAATTAGTGTTTTAGACAGAAATAATGGTAGGATTTAACACAGCTAGCTATCTGTTCCTTATTCTGAGATAAATCTGTTGCTATAATAGTAGCTGAAGTGGGTTGTAGTGAAAAGTAATTGAGTGTACATTCCTTTCAAGGTTATGCATGCAGGCCTTAGAAATGCCTTGAATTCAGCTTGCTTCACATGTCTTTGTAAACTATGTCCATAAAATTATATCATTATCCCAGTGAAGTTTAATGTATGGATGAGGTAAATCTACCAATATTTGTGTCTATTCAGAGTGGCTTAAAAAAAAATCTCAAAGTATTTTAAATTATTTCAAGATGCAATTATTTCAAGTTAAAGACTTCAGTGTGACATAAAATGCAAGAATATGGTAAACATCAGAATTAAATGTTAATACAATATCAGCATACAACCTTTCATAAAAAATTTTTTAGTCTAACTACCTCAGTTTAGCTTTTTTTTTTTATTCTGTAAATTAAAAAGAAAAAAAGGGTGAAGTTAATAATTATAACTTTTCTTATGTTTTTCCCATGTGAGTTCAAAAATCAAACTTTTTGTTATGAAATAGGTTTAATCTAATATTTGATAATTTTCTAAATCAAGTTATTTGATCTTTTAAGCCTGTATTCTATTTTTGCATATTTTCTGTGCATCTGACTATGATAATTATCATAATATATGCAGATTGTGTGAGCTTAGGTGGAGTTTGAAAGCCTTATGAAAATCATAATCTGTTCTACTGCTGATTATTTCCATGCACATAAACTAAAAATAGAAATTATAAAAAAAATAATTAATTACTTTACTGTTAATCTATGTTCATATTGCCACATCAATGTTTTTTTTTAAAGTTCATTGATTAAAGATGTTTATAAATTAATCATGTTTTAAATCAGATTTTTAAATTAAGAAAATGTTCTGTTACTTATCTCAATTAACAGTATCTGTATAAAAGTTAGGGCCATTTATAAATGTAACGTGTTGGGGGGTGGGGGAATGTATTGTACAAGACTGTTTACTTTGATCCCAAGAAGTATCAAGGGGGGGCATTGTGTATTTATAATCTTTTTTTAAAAGCTGCATTCTCAGCTACTGAATATATGATGCTGTCTGGTATATCCAGTGTTAAGTTATACAACGGTCCTCAAGCTAATGGACATGACATCAAGCTTTAAACTTCAGAGATCACAACACAGCCCTAGGCTCAACTCCACCTTTCCCCCCAACTTTACATAATAAATGGGTTAACCATGCCGTTAAATCACATAACCTTGATACTAGCGTGTAAACACAAGCGGGGCGGTGTGCAGTAGTAATGATAAGATAGGGTGTTCAAACAACTCTTGACAGATTATTGCACGCCACCCCCCCCCCCCCCCTTAAAAAAATTACACTAGACTTTAAAAATTTTGCTTTATTAAGCAAACAGTATTTTTTTCTTGACTTGAATTCGTTTCCATAAATAGGCCATACGGTAACTTTAAACATGTTTTTTCTTTCTATTTAATGTCGAGTTTTCCTCCAATAAAAAATGTAAATAACAATACTGTGGAGCAATGAGATTAGGAAACGAGAAACAAAAACAACTTGCCTTGGCTGGATCATACAGAAGCCCAACCGGCAACTTAGAACCGATATAAAATTAAAATGTGGTACGTAGATAAGCGAATTCAAGAACATCATTGCCAGGGAGAAAATGAGTCTTACAGCCAAATACGCTTACGCTTTGAAAGAAAAGTGGCGTTAAGCTTTGGTCTCTTTATGAGACGACTATTTGCATAGATCAAGGCGATTCTTGATTTAAAAACTAAAAGTTAACGACAGACTCGGTAACCAGCGCCGTGAACTGCATGCAGATGTTGGAATGCAATGCATGTGACATAGTATACGGTTAGTATTTAGATGCTTACATGGCCAACTAGTTCGTCTAATTTTTTTTTTTTTGTTGCTTATGGACAAACGTGTTTACAGTAAACACAAATTAAAGGGAATGCTATAGTTATACCCACACCAACCGTCAGTGCGGGGCTTGATGTGGATGACGGTGAAATGTCAGCAAGGCGCTAGATGACGTGAAAGTAGAACCACTTCTGGCTGGTTGTGACCAGCACGGCGGTGGTTATCACGTGACAACCCTAGCACGCGCGTCCTTACTGAAGTAGGCCTACTCAGCCAGTGTTTACCTTCACCCCGCCCCCATATGTGGTAGCCGCTCATTGACGTATTAAAAATAAATAATTATAACAAGTTTTTAACTACTATTTCACAATGTTCGATAGAATTACAGGAAATGGTCCATCCTTTTATCACACTAAAATATGTCAATGTTTCATACAAGCTCAACTCTTGCGACTGGACTATTTCATGTGAGATCATCCTTAACCACCAGGCGTATTACAGTATAACTCTACACAGCTTCAAATCCTAATCTCCGCATCTTCCAATCATAACCTCCACGGCTTTATAATCACCACATATTCAAATCCTAATCTTCACAGCTTCAAATCCTAATTTTCACAGCTTCAAATCCTAATTTCCACAGCTTCAAATCCTAATTTTCACAGCTTCAAATCCTAATTTCCACAGCTTTAAATCCTAATCTCAGCAGCTTCGAATTCTAATCTCCACAGCTCCGAATTCTAGTTTCCACATCTTCAAATCGTAATCTCCACAGTTTCAAATTCTAGTTTCCACATCTTCAAATTCTAGTTTCCACAGCTTCAAATTCTAATTTCCACATCTTCAAATCGTAATCTCCACAGCTTCAAATTCTAGTTTCCACAGCTTCAAATTCTAATCTCAACAGCTTCAAATCATAATTTCCACAGCTTCAAGCTCTAACAGGACACATGCCACAGACATATACGCTTTATGGTGATGGGATTTTGTTGAAAGGTCCGGTGTTTACGGCTGTTGCTGATATCATTGTGTGTGATATGTGGATGTGACATATAAATATATATATTTATATAACATATAAATTTGCTATCGTGTGGTACACGAATGTGATACTGTGACAGTGTGATCTCATATAACGTAAATTTATGATACTGTGTCACGCCAATATGAACGTGTGTGACACGTGAATGTGGCACGTTGATATGATATTATGTTGTGTGACATAACTAGGGTGATGTTGTGGCGCGCTATTGTAACAGTGTGCGTCATACAGTTTGACTTCTGGGTGTGAATTAAAGGCCAGTAATGGATCGGCCAGGAAAAGTTTTAGAGAAGACTCGCCAAGAACATTTTGTTGATTTGGCGCCACAAATAAAAAGATACTAAAGCCACGCAATGAGCAACGGAAAACTGCGCAAAAAATATGCGCAAAGTAAATTATTTTCTCTAAATCGATCGTTTATGGATGTTAGTAAAGAATTACTACGTGTACATTGTAGCATTATGTAACATTTTTCCATGAAGTATTGGAAAATTAAAGTGTATTAATATAGTTAGTTTGTATTTGCGCATTTTTTTTTTGTTTGCGCAGTTTTCCGTTGCTCATTTTTCCGTTTTGCGCATGCTCAGTGTAACACACGGTGTTGCCAGATTTGTTTTCTTGGCAAGTCTGCACAGTCCCTGTATACGTTGGCAAGACCTATCAGTGCCGATTGGATCTCGTTGTCTGTGCTTTTGACTTTACACAACTAGACGCATTAATCGCTTAAACAAAACATCCCGGGCGCTAGTTTGTAGTGAGTAGACAGGGGCTATGGTCTGTTGCAGGGCAGTAGAGTAATAGGCCTATGTCTATTTTTCTCAACTAGATATGCCTGTTAGAGCTAGCTTTAGGCCCAGCGGTGGTGTGCAGAGTTTGTGTTAGGATCAGAGTTTCTTCCTGTCCCCCCCCCCCCCCGCCAGAACATTTTTGTCCCCCCCCCCCCCCAAAAAAAAATTCATATCCCCCCCCCCCCCCCCCGGAGGAAAAAGTAAAAAGTGTGGAAGAAACACTGGTTAGGATTACAGCCTGCCCTTGTTAGCTTTAAAGTTTAAAGCAACGATACCAACATCAACTTCAAAAATATTTTGTTATGGCATTGGTCGTGAAGAGAAATAGCGTACGATTAATAGTTTAATACATAATAATGAATGAAATTTAAAAACCGCCAGGTAAATAAATAGATTTGCTAAGGCATGGCTAACATGGTCAAATGCAGTTTTCTTTAAGGAACTTGTGACAGAGCTTATGGACATATTTAACGACATGCAGTTGGGACATGCCCTGGTCTCGAACATGTGAAAATGTCTTAGAATATGGATATAAGGTCCTGAACATTGACTCGTTTCTAGATCAAAATTATTTTTTAAAAAAATCCTCAACACAAAATGCCACCTGCTTGATGTGTTGACCTCTGGGGGTCACAATAGTCAGCAGTAAACATGTTGATTTCAGCAGTGAAAGGGGCGGGTTGGGGGGTGGGGTATTAGAAGGTGTGCGCATGCGGCATGCCTCAATGTCAAAGTTATACAACATGGGTGGAAGAAATTTTTTTTTTTACATCAACCACGTAGGCTACACGTCCTTTTAACTCTATAGCAAACAAAAGTCCATATCAAGTTTCTGGAAAAAAAGTTAGGCCATTAAAACGACGAACAATAGTGTCCCAGCTCTACGCCGTATAATGAAAGGTACCCACTTCTCCTGATACCCACAGCAATGTACGCTTTCCAAGTACCCACGGCAATGCACGCTTTCCTGGTACCCACATCAATGTACAACCCCTGGTACCCACGGCAATGTACACTCTCCTGGTACCCACTTCAATATACACTCTCCTGGTACCCACATCAATGTATACTCTCCTGGTACCCACATCAATGTACACTCTCCTGGTACCCACATCAATGTATACTCTCCTGGTACCCACATCAATGTACACTCTCCTCGTACCCACACCAATGTACACCCTCCTGGTACCCACATCAATGTACACCCTCCTGGTACCCACATCAATGTACACTCTCCTGGTACCCACATCACTGTACACTCTCCTGGTACCCACATGTACACTCTCCTGGTACCCACATCATTATACACTCTCATGGTACCCACATATACACTCTCCTGGTACCCACACCAATGTACACCCTCCTGGTACCCACATCAATGTACACTCTCCTGGTACCCACATGTACACTCTCCTGGTACCCACATCAATGTACACCCTCCTGGTACCCACATCACTGTACACTCTCCTGGTACCCACATGTACACTCTCCTGGTACCCACATCATTATACACTCTCATGGTACCCACATATACACTCTCCTGGTACCCACACCAATGTACACCCTCCTGGTACCCACTTCAATGTACACTCTCCTGGTACCCACATGTACACTCTCCTGGTACCCACATCAATGTACACCCTCCTGGTACCCACATCACTGTACACTCTCCTGGTACCCACATCAATGTACACTCTCCTGGTACCCACATCACTGTACACTCTCCTGGTACCCACATCAATGTACACCCTCCTGGTACCCACATCACTGTACACTCTCCTGGTACCCACATCAATACCCACTTCAATATACACTCTCCTGGTACCCACATCAATGTACACTCTCCTGGTACCCACATATACACTCTCCTGGTACCCACACCAATGTACACCCTCCTGGTACCCACATCAATGTACACTCTACTGGTACCCACATGTACACTCTCCTGGTACCCACATCAATATACACTCTCCTGGTACCCACACCAATGTACAACCTCCTGGTACCCACATCAATGTACACTCTCCTGGTACCCACATGTACACTCTCCTGGTACCCACATCAATGTACACTCTCCTGGTACCCACATGTACACTCTCCTGGTACCCACATGTACACTCTCCTGGTACCCACATCAATGTACACTCTCCT